GACAAGAGCCCGAATGCAATCAAGAGACCTTATAAATATAACAAATCAAATTTGCCCTCTCTGCCATCCGGCATATCACGAAAGGAGCCCACGCCCCCGTGCCCTTTCTGGGGGGACTTCTTTCTATAAGAACCGAGTAGATAAGTAGTTCGACTCGAAGAGACGACCTCCTTTTGAATTTGCCTATATCTTCTCGTGGGTGCAACATTTATGCTCCGTTTGGCATATGAAATTAGTAGGAAATGATTTCAAATTCCAAGATTTTAAATTATGGAAATGATTTCGAATTCCTGATTGCGTTTGGAACCAAAATGATTTCAAATCCTTGAAATTAAAATTTATTGCTTGGATGTTTACGAGAAATGAAAAGAAAGTACAACATTTTACTATAATGCCTTTAATAATTTATAAGATATTATATTATTAATAATATAATATTTTAGAATCAAGTAGTGATTCAATCACATAAAAATAAATAATTTAATCAAATCAACTTCACAAAATTAAAACTTACAATGTCATCTTTATTCTAAAAATTAAACTAAAATAATTGCAAATGTCTTGATTCATATATAAAGAGAAAAAACTTAAAATCAACATGTTCTAAGCCTAAACCAAATAAATCAATTATTGCTGCCCATTTTCCAATATAATCATTCTTCGCGCATGACTTCTGGACATCAATAAAAAGTCTCTGTTATTATCAGATCAGATAAAATGAAGTTAGAAGTCTCAAATGTCATATTTGGTGAAAGACTCATTTTCAATCTCCTTGAAAACATCTTTTCACTGTAAATGCGTCGATTATGCTCTCTAGCCGTCTCTTGCCACATCATTACCTAAGAATTAAATAATATTATATTAATGTTAAAATACTTTCACATATTTAAATATCAATTAAAGTATAATTAAAATATATAAGTATGGGCATCATACCTTTATCAAGTACTACGACTACCTTTTCCATTGAATTTGTAAGCATCTCTGATTTTTCTCCAATTAAGTCAACTACAGGTGACTTCTTCTTATTGCGCTTAGAAACAGATGAAGATGCTTGATGCATTAATGTTTTTTGTTGCTGACTATTCATAAAATCGTCCTCATCAAAACTTTCTAGATGAATTCCCTCACGTGCCATCATGTCATCTATATCATTGATATTCACGGATTCATCTCTTTGCCAACGACGTACCTTCTCTTTTGCACTTTCTGCAAATGTTCCAATTGTTTTGTCTTTCTCAAAAAGTTCTTTTAAGATGTCAAAGTTGTAAATTGGCTTTGCTCAAACTTTTTGAGCTTTTGGATAAGACTGATACAACAAATAAAACAAATTTATAAGAAAAAATCAATGTTGTTACGAAGAAAAAAAACATATAAGTTAAAATACTTGAATTAAAACCTCTAAAACTGGTTGCTCTGCTTCAATTGTTTCTGAGATGCTATTCCAAGTAAGGCCACTACCACGTCTAAAGACTTCAAGTCCAATAGCCATTTTTTCTTTCAAAGTCTTTAGACGATTAATGATGTTATCCTTGGGTAAATCCATTTTAAATTTTGAGTTTAAGACTTCAACCGCAGCTTGATACGCATCATTTGTGAAATTTCTGTCAGACTTTTGGCCTCTCACTTTCCACTCTTTTAATATCTCAAGAAGGTATTTGTTCATCCCAATTGACTAGCTAATATATTTTTTTTATCACTTACAGTTTCCATAATCTCTAGCATCATCCAATAATAAAAAACATAATAAGATGTTTAAACTTTATTAAAAATAATAAAATATTATAAAGTAACTAAAATTTATTGAAGCAAAAAAAAAAAACAATTATAATAAAAAAATAAATCTCTACTGATCAGATAAATAATCTTGCCACATATGAGCTGCAATTGAATCTCGAATTTGTTCGCCTCTTCATCCATCCTCAGTTAAAGTAACTCCTGCTATAAGACCAATGTCTATTTCACTATCCCTAATTTCATTATCAACTTCTGCAATTAATCTCTCATCTAGATCAAAAGTCGTAAGAAAATTATGTATAATGCAACACACTATAACTATATTGGTTTATGTCTCAAAACTATAATGTGGCTCAGTCCCACTAGCTATGATTGGAAACCTTTCTTTAATACTCCAAATGATCTTTCAATTGCATTTCTTAAAGATGCATGTCTGTGATTAAATAACTCTTTTGGAGATTGGGGAGCGTAAATAACTCTTTTGGAGGTCAGGGAGCGCAGGTTGAATATTCTTATACATGATATCTTGTCCGACGATAGGGTGTAATAAACCCAGATCGCAACATAAACCCCGCATCAACAAGATAATATTTTCCTATAAATAACAATCATAAAATAATTTTTAGAATTATATTTTATGCTTAATTATGTTAAATATCTCTAGAAAACATTATATGTGTGCGTGATATATATATTACCTGTAGGAATTCTTATACTATCTTCTCTTGATAATGCATCTTCTAGAATTCGAGAATCCGAAGCAGATCCCTCCCACCCAGGTAACACATAAGTGAATCTTAAATTAAATGTGCATGCTGCTAAAACATTTTGTGTGGGAAAATATTTTCTTCCTCTAAATCTTGATACATTTTCTTTTGATACTATTACACGCAAATGTGTTCCATCAATGGCCCAAACACAATCCTATATATATAATAAACACTTAATGATTAATATGAATTATGTTTAAAAAAAAATTTGAGACATTTAGTTTAGAGTATTTACCTTAAAATATGGAAAAAATCTTGTGCTATTTTGAATTTCGGGAGGAATTGAAGTTCTGTTTGATTAAACTAGATATTCTTCTTCCAAGGATATAATTGCCTTTAAGACTTATGAAAATGTCGACTCACTGTTTCACTTGAGCGACGAAAGAAAGAGCCAATTGTTCTGTTTCTCACATTATGAGCTAAAATATGCAAAAACTTGGTAACTTGTTCTTCTATAGAACTATATTGACTATCTTTAATGTATCTTGTACTCTTCTAAATGCTAATGAGCCCATTCGTAAGATATTTCTACTTCATTCCTCATTGGAAATAAATCTCATTAATAAATATCTTACTTCTTCTCTTTCTAGTCCAGGCTCAGATGGAGATCTTGTAATGTAATTTATGTTTTCATAAATTTCTAATAATGTAACTACATATCCCATACAAATTGTTATTACACCAACTGCAATTCGTCATCCGTATTCATGCTTTCTCAACTGAAATATCAAATAATAAATACAATTATGATTATAACATTTTAAATTAAATTAAAATAGAGATACATATATTTATTATATTAAAAAAACCCCAACAACCTTCATTTTGATTTTCATATATATAACACATAAACCCATAAACCCATATTTTTAAAAAACACATAAACCCACATTTTTAATATTTACTATAGATTAAGAAAATAAAAATTAGTGACACTTTAGAAGCCCTCACAAGCAAAACCCTAAAATAAATTCTAGGGAGATTCCAGTACCAAAAATAATCACAAATAATTTTACTGTTAAAAACAAAATATAGTTAGCTTTCCTAAACTCATAAAACCACATTTTTAATATTTATTATACGTTAAGAAAATAAAATTAGTGACATAAGCCGTCACAAGCAAAATTCTAAAATAAATTCTAGAGGGATTGTAGTACCCAAAATAATCACAATCAATTTTAGTGTTAAAAATAGAATATAGTTAGCCTTCCTAAACACATAAAACCACATTTTTAATATTTATTATACGTTAAGAAAATAAAATTAGTGACATAAGCCTTCACAATCAAAATCCTAAAATAAATTTTAGAGAGATTCAGTACAAAAAATAATCACAAATAAGTTTACTGTTAAAAACATAATATAATTAGCTTTCCTCCACCTTCTCACAAAAATAGAATTTACGATAAAAAAAAAAGATACAAACAAATTATCTGTGAGACTATGATATGTGAGAATTAGCAAGTATGAAGTTTCAAGCAGATTCATAACTTTTTCAATATCCTTTGTTTTAGAATGGGGGTTGAATATAGATAGTATAATACTTCAAATTATATTTGCTAGTTCTGACTCTATTCAAATAAATGGAAAAAAAATAAACTGTTATTTTTCCCCTTAAAAATTTGAATGAACAATAAAACTAGAAACATGAAGGAAAAAAAAAATCTTAAACCAAAAACACATATGAAAATCATTTTTTTCACCTCAATTTAAATTAGTAGCAAAGTGTTCTTTTTTATTTTTTATCATAGTTATTTTACAGTAATGAAAAACAAATGCAAGGGGAGAAAAGGAAAAAAAATAAAAAAGAAGAGAACTACAAAAAAACCATAAACAAGAATCAAGAAGAAAACTTAAATAGACTAGAACAAAAGAGAAAACCAACATGGAATTTTAAAAAAAATGTTTGCCTGTAAAAATTTAAATAACAGATATTAAAGTGAAGATAACTATTAGAATAAAAAAAAAACTAAGAAGATAGAAGAAAAAATTTGAAACTAACATTTCTGTCTTATTATCTATAGAAAAAATTATGCTTATAAGAGATGGTGCCTAGAAGAGAGGGTGTAGGTAGGTAAAGTTAAAAAACAAAACCAAATTGTTACTTTTTCTCCTAAAAATGAGTGCAAAATAGTGATTTGTTATGTTTAAAACTGAAATCCTCACAAATCACACCTATTTGGAACGGAAAATAATCATGAGAGAAACATGATTTGAAATCATTTGAGATTTTATTTATTTATTTATTTTTTAATATCCAAACATCGGAAATGATTTCAAAATGTGTTAAAAGATTTTGAAATCCCTCTGTTCCAAACAGGGGGTTAAAACCACATTTTTTTTAAAATGAAAACTGAATTTTTTTTTACAGTAAACCGCATTTTTAAAAAATTTGTTTGAGACTTGTAATATTTTAATATTTAGTTTTAATTTTAGTTAATACTGAAAAAAATCCCAAAAATTTCGTTCACATGAATCGCAGGGAATACGCTATCATGTCTCTAGGTCTTTATAAATACGTTCATTCCCACAATTGATAATTTGATATCGCCGATCCATTTTTTCCCATCCCGGCTCCCGCAGCCCTAACGGAATTTTGAGGCTACGTTTCCAGGTATTCCTAGGCTTTCTTCTGTCAATCTCACGTTGTTCTGAGGTCATATCGATTTTAGAGGCCATGTTATTGTTATGATCCCGTTGGAATCGTTGGATATTTGTCTACTCTAGCGATTGGTTATCTAGGGTTAACAAAATCTCTTTCTTTATGCATTTTACTTGTACTGGTTCAGGATTTCGTACAATTTAACTTTTGATTTTATCGTGTTGACGTTGTTTCTCACAATCCGCTTACCTCTTCCTCTTTTTTCCTGTGGATGCATTTTATTCACTTAGAAGAGCTGCAATTACGATACTTTCCTTGAATCCAGTCCTTTACTGTATGGAATTGGTTCTCTCGAAGTTGATTGGCCAGTGGTTATCATATAAATTGTTCCGTTTCTACTTATTTGGAATGCCCTTCTTATATTGTTGTCTGATTTTCAGTTTCTTGATAGTGCTGAAAGTTAGTAAATTATTAATGTATCATTTAAAATGGTTAAGAGATGTGAAAAGGTTAATATATTTCTCTTCCCCCCTTCTCTCTGTTGTTCATATAGTTTCTCTAATTTCAAGGTTGCTAAGATGGGGTGATTTTCTAGCTGAGGAAGTCTTGGGTACCTCTCTTGTCTTAAATCCAATAAATGTCTTTTGGAGGCACAATTGTGAATGATGGTCATATTTCTTTTTAAATAAGTAGTGAGAAAATATATGTAAAAAAAAGGGGAAAAATAGTCTAGGGGCTGGTAGAGGAAACCCCCTCCTGAGAGGCTACAAAAGAAGTTACAAAAGAGCTTCTTGTGGTTGGAGCACCACCAAGAAGAGGTATGTTGTATATTGTTACAAAAAATTCCTTTGAGACCATAATCTTAAAAAATCTTTGATTTCTATTTTTCCAAATTAGTCAAGGAAGAGCTCTAACACAATTCCAACCGACAACTGCACAATTCCAAAGAAACTTCACCTTGCCTTTAAAACTCATGTCTGCAAGAATTTCCATAAGTCAAAGCTCCACTCAGATGGGCAGAGAAATAGACAACTCATATTAATTCTAGAGAATGGACTAACCACCACTAATGTAATTCAATTCTATCCAGTATTTTTGAAAACCATTTTTTTTTATTGACAATATTATATTGTTTAGTTAGCATGACTGCATTTTTAGTGAAATGTTTTAAAAAATTACTTTATGTGATTATATGGTATAATATTTATAATTGGTTCCAAAGGGAGTAATATATGGAGAAAAAGAGAATAGGTAGACTTTGAATGGATCAAAAGGGAATATTATCTTTAGTATAGTGTTTTCAGAATTGGTTGAGGCTGAGGCATAAGCCTTGAGTTGCAATGTGGTTGTGAAGTACCTCATGGCTAATTCCTATGCTAAACAAAAGGAGGCTTATGCCAATATGCCTCTGATGTCAAAGTTGCATGCCTCCATGCTTACACCTTTAACTCAAGAATTTTACATGTCATGATATATGGAGTGTGAGAATTTTCAAGTATCTTTTGTAATTTTGTCTAAATATCATAATATCATGTCTATAAGGTGCTTCATTTTTATGCTTTTTGTTTAACTCATGAATTTTACATGTCATGATATATGTTGAGTTTAGATTATCTTGTTTGTTAAAGGTATCTTTTGTAATTTTATCCAAATATCATTGTATCATGTCTCTATAACAAGGTGTTACATTTTTATGCTTTTTATTAACCTTTTATATTTCAAATGAGGCTTATGCCTCGCTTCTCTATGCGAAAAAGTCTCGAGGTTGCCTTAAACCTTTTAAAACATTGCTTTAGTAGCATGGGGCAAATATGGGTATTAAATGAATTTAATTGGCCGTAAGTGGCGGCCTCGTTGATAGGAGCTTGGAGTCTCTTGGTCATATCGACTTGGGCACTTGAGCTACTCATGTGAACCGCCTTACCTTACAACAACATAGGGACAAAAGGGAGAAGGCTGTTAGACTATTGGTCTGCTGCTTTTTTTCTTTTCTCGACTACTGTGATTAAAAAAGCAAAGAAACTCAGCTTCTTGCAGGGTTATTTTTCTCACCTATCTCTAGGCCACTTGAGCAATTGGGACCACAATTGCTTCTGCATTTGGCACTCCCCAACCCCCCAACCTTTTTGAAAAGAGAGAGAAGAGGCGTCTAACTCATAGGCTACGCGCTCAAGCGCCTTGCCAACTACATCTATGTTACTTACTAGCTAGCTTAATGAGAGGTTCGAATCTTAGTGTGAGCATAATTCAAAAAATCGCTGTCTCCCAAGTCCAGGCCTTGGGGCAGGCACGGGTGCCCTTTGGGTGTAGTGGAGCAAAGCATCTATGATCTAAAGACTCTCCTATTTTTAACGGGAAAGGTAAAAAGATACAGCTTGCTGAAGTAAATGTTCTTTGTTAAGAAGCACGAACACAATGTTTTTAAAATAGTGTCAGGTGTTTGAAACGTGTTGGACACGTTTAAAATGAGTATCTAATTTTTCATTTTTTATAGTTTTTGAACACGGCTGGGACACAATCAGACACGGTTGGGACACATTGATAGTTTAAAATAATTGACAAGAAAGAAGACGAAGACGAAGAAGTGGAGAAAAGGGAAGCAGTTTGCACTTTGCCCTAATGGGTTATGTTTATAAGAAATTTAGTAAATGCAAGAAAGGAGATAACTTACCTACAATCAGACTCGAATGCAAGAAGAAAAGGAAGCTTTAGAGGCTGGGTAAAGAAATAGAAGAGGAAGATTACTCTTCTAAATTCCTTTGTATCATCGAACAAGACGAAGAAATATGAAACAAGGGGTGCGTATACAAGAAGGAAGTTAATAGAGAGTCCTTTGAAATGATGAAAATTTGTTTCTTGATACGAAAGGTGGGAGTTGAATTATACAAGACTTGATAGTGGGCTAGTGATGTGTTTTTGCAAAGGAGTTGCATAATCCAATTTATTTGTCCAAGAAAGTTCAAATACTAGCCACCAAAGAGAAATAAGTTCTAGAACTTTTACTATAATAATTTGGAGATGGGTATTGCAAGGAAAAAGGTGTATGTGAAAGCCAAGTTTTGTTCCCCCATATTGTTGCCATCTCTATTTTAAATAGTAGTGCTTATATTTTTTTCTTGGATCTTGCACGTGGACTAGGTTTCTTCGTTACGTTATCATGTTCATCATATTTTGATTATAAGGATGTGGTATCTTAAGGTTTGTGATCAATGTTTAAAGATCGAATTACATGTTGGTGTTCCCCTTTTGACAATCTTTTGGGGTGAATGGTGGGTTGAAGCAATGCTTGAATAGATTTGTTTCTCCCTTTTTGGCAATTTCCTATATGAATGAGGGGTTTGAAAATCTTAAGGTACCATGATTAATGTTTGTAGATAAAATTACATGTTGATTTTTTTCCTTTCTAGCAATATCTTGGTGTAAATGAGGTGTTGAATCAAATGCATGAATAGATTTGTTTCTCCCTCTTTTGAAATCTTTTGGCTAGTGTTTGAAATGGTTATGGATACGTGATATGTTAAGTAATTAAGATTGTTGGAATATATACCTTTTTGGTTTTTGAGGTTTCGATAATAGTTTACTTTGGTCCCCAAGTTTTAAAATTTTACAATTTAACTTCGAAGTCTCTGAAATACTTCGGAATAGTCCTTGCAGTTAGTTTTCCATTAGCTACTTTAACAAAATGATGATGTGACTTTTTTTAATTGATTTTATACTATAATTTATATGTGGCAAAAAATGATGATTTTTATAATAATTTTAAATGTGGTACGACCAAAACTAATTTAAAATGGAATTTATGCTCTCTTCTCTTGATTCGTCCTAATTCTCTCACCTTTCACCCAACCATTCTCTCTCCCCATATTGTCCACTTTCATCCCTTCTTTGCCACCCTTGACCCAACCCTTCTCTCTCCCCATATTGTCCTCTTTCACCCTTTCTTTCCCAGCTACTCTCTCTCCTCCCTTCCCCTCCTCATGGGTTCGTCTCTCTCTAAGCAAGGAAGGGAACAAAACCTCCACCATAATCCTACATGAGTTGCTTCGAGCCAATTACGTATGGAAAATCCTCTAGGACTTGGTGACTATCAATTATCTCTCATTCTTTTGATTTGGAGCTCCTTTCTGTACTCTGCTTTTCTTTGGATTTGGTTGCTTCTCGTCTCCTTTTGGCTTGAACATTCCTTTTTTAGTCTTCGTATTGTTTTATTTCCTTTGATCTCAATGAAAGTTGTCTATCTCATATAAACAATATCACATGATCTTAATGTTAAAGTAGTAGTGGTAAAATTAACGGTAGACACTATTTCAAAGCATTGTAGAAATCTCGTGGATTAAGTTATAAGATTTTGGAACTTGGGACCAAGTTCATTTGTGAAATCTCATGGACTAAAAGGTGTATCTATCCCTATTTATTTTTATAAAAGACTTTTTCTTGCAAGTATGCAACATTTTTGACTGTTTATGCTATGGCAGTCGTCATGGCAAAGAGAAGAGGGAAAGCATCAAAAGGTAAAGAACAACCTTCAAACAGTTCTATTTCAAATAAAGGTGTTAAGAAAATTATAAAGAAGAAAAAGAAGTCCAAGAAGACGAATGAAACTTCCAATTCAAAAGTTGTCCATTCTACTTCAAAACGGGATCTTGTTAGTGCTCCACATGCCTCAGTTACCCCTTCGATCCTTCTTGGCAATGATCGGGAGAACCAAAATGAAAAGGAGGGAAAAAACCATTCCTCTGGATTCATCTTTATGTGCAATGGAAGAACAAAGCCTGAATGTTACGAATATCGTGTTTTTGGCTTACCGAAAGGGAAAATTGATGTTGTGAAGAATATAAATCATAATACAAAGCTATTTTTGTTTGACACTGACGCGAAGCTTCTCTATGGAATATACCAAGCTACTAGTAAGGGTGCATTGGATTTGGAACCAACAGCTTTCAATGGGAAATTTCAAGCACAGGTAAGAAAGACGATTATTGTCTACGTAGATTTTAAGTAAGATGGACACTTTCTCACAAAACTAAGATTTTTGCAGGCTTCTATGCTCCTTTTGTTTTATTTTTTTTCTTGCCGTATGGAGGGTTGAAAACTCAAAACTCGAGTGTACAACTCAATATGTTATGGTGCAACCCAAACCCTTTTTTGGGTGTTGCATGAGTTCAAACATCTCAATCAAGATTTTTGAACCAAGCACTTCCTTGACATTATGTATTCATCATGTTGGTAATGTGTTTACCTCATGGATTAAGCATATAGTTTAGGATTTTGCTAGTGGTTTCGTCTCTTTATGGCTTGGAGAGTACATCAAGTGGATGGGAGGTCCCGTTAGTTGGGGTTCAATTACTTTTTCCCCTAGCTCAGCGAAGTCTTCAAAAGAAAATTTTGGCTTCAACATTTTAATAAAAAGGAGTTTGAATAAAGAGAAAAAGGGAAGATAAGGTTTTTTCTTTTTAATGGAGAGAGTGAAACTGACTTGGGTCACTCGTGTAAAGGCTTTGGGTGTTTGGAAATACTTTACATGGTCTGGGTTTTATCAATTTAGTAACTTCAAACCTAAAACTCTTATCATCCCCATWGCTAGCCTTGGGGTGTGAAAAGTGTCTAGGAGGATAAGTGGAGTTCGGCCATGAGCATAATGCAATAACTAGGGTCGCTAGGGTATAGAAAAATGAAGAGCAATAGTGGAAAGAAAAAAAAGTTGAATATGGTGGCTTGGTACTTGATGTTTTACCTTTTATTTGGTGACACCATTTGTAAAAACAATCTTACAAAAATAATTACCGACATTTTTTTATTAAAATATAATGGAAAATTTATGGTGCTTTTGCCACTTTTGAAAAAGACGAATAACTTAAAGCCACCTAATTTTAAGAACTAAAAGTAGGGTTGGCAATGGGGCGACTAGGGGGGGCCACTCCCTGCCTTCGCCTCCATCCTCATAATTTAGGAGCTGGGTGGGGAATGGGGATGTAGCGATTGGGCGGTGATGGAGCCTGTGGTGCTCATAGTCAGAATTGGTAGATTTGTGATGGCGACAACTAGTGTTTTGAATAGTGTGCCTAGGCACGCTTTCTAGAATAAGTGAGGGGTATGCACCTTGTTAAAAAAAGCTAGGCCCCTTCGCTAAAGCCCATAGAAGCTTCAGTGCAAGAGCACACGCATAAGTTAATTTCATTTTTCAAATTTTAAAGCCTTTTTATGAAGATTCTTTTGAAATACTATTAGAAAATCTCTTTTTTTTGTCTCCTATTTCTCACAGAAATATGTGTTCTTAAATCTATTTTTTTAATTTTTTATTCTTAATAATATATTTTTCAATATATAAAAAAAATTAAAGTATGTTTTACTATTATGTGCCTCACGAAAAAAAGCCCTCGCTTTTATTTCCGCTTTGCGCTTAAGCTCCAGGGCTATTGTGTTTTAGTGTGCTTCGAGTATTAAAAAGCACTGGTGATGACAATGGTGGTGGCTCTTAGGGATGGTGGTGGTGTTAGGGAAGATGAGTGAAGAAGAATAACGTATGGTGAGATGAGAAGATGATGTGTGAAGTGTTTGGGTAAGGTGAGAATTATTTTATTATTATTATTATTTTTTAATTTAAAAGATACTGGGCTTGGGTTGGATTGGGGTATGGAAAGAATTTTGATAAATTAAAAAATATATAAAAGAATGGGGAAGAGGGCGAGGGCGAGGCGAGGTAGGGACACCCTCCCCCAACAATTTAAATGTTTGATTGACCCCATATTGTTCGACCCAACTCCACAGTTTTTATGCTATCCCTAACTAAAAGTGCATTTTAGTTTACAAAATATTATGAGTTGATGTTGATATGACTAACCCAATGGATGCTTATAGATACAAAATTTTTTATCAAGCGGCCCCATTGGCAAGGGCTTTAGGTTTCTTGGTCATACCGGCTTAGAGGTCTCAAGTTTGAGCTTAGTACAAAAAAATCCTTGATATTTTCCAAGTCTGGGCCTTGGGGCAAGTACAGGTGCCCTGGTATAGGGGAGAAAAGCTTCGACTCCCGATTATAAAAAAAAAAAAAAMAAAATTTCTTGCCCCATTTGCTTTTGTAGTATTGAATATTTCAAGATATTATGGGTTGATCTTGATATGGCTTGCAACCAAATGGAATCTTATAGATACAACATTTTTTACCCTTGAAGGGGCGATCCCGTTTGTAAGGGCTTGAGGTTTCTTGGTCATACTGGCTTAGAGGTCTCAAATTTGAACTTTCGGGTGAGCTTAATACAAAAAACTCTTGATATTTTCCAGGTCTAGGCCTTGGGGTGGGCGCGGTTGCCCCCAGGTATAGGGGAGCAAAGCTCTAACTCTCGGTTATCAAAACTGAAAAAAAATTACTAAATTTCTTGCCCCGTTTGCTTGTAGTATTGAGTATTTCATTGTTTTATTGACTACGGCTGGTAATTATTTTTAAGTTATAAATGTGTAATTTGGGACTTTTTTTTTCTTGGTCATACTGGCTTTGAGACCTGAGGTCTCAAATTCGAACTTTCGGGTGAGCTTAATACAAAAAAACTCTTGATATTATCCAGTCGTGGGATGGGTGCAGGTGCCCCAGGTATAGGGGAACAAAACTCCAACTCCTGGTTATCGAAACAAAAAAATACAAAATTTCTTGCCCCATTTGCTTGTAGTATTGAATATTTCATTGTTTTCTTGACTAGGGCTAATAATTATTTTTAAGGTATAAATGTTTAATTTGGGACAACTTTTTTTTCTTGTTTGAATGTTTGTGGTGTGTAGACGGTAGACCCTTCCTAAGTAAAGTAGGTGTATTTATGGGTATGGTTGGGTTAGGGAGGGACTTTTTTTACCCTTCAATTGTTTTATCTGTATACTAAATGATTCAATTAACTGATCAGTTCAATTCAATCATGTATATTATTGGGGTTGTGTTGGTTTCTATCATTTGAATAATTTGTTTTTAATTTATTAGTTTAGATCCTATTTTGGTCCTTGATTGACCTTGAACTTTTCTTAAAAATATGTTTTGGTCCTTTGCTATAAAACTTTATTATGCATTTAATGGAAATCTCTCATAGCATTACATGGACTTGTATTTAAAAGCTGTATGAAATTTTTGTATAAGTTTAGGGATATACCAATTTTTATAGTATGAGAGCAAAAATAGAACCAATATCGAAGTTCAGGTCGTAAAATAAGATTTGAGAATATTTTTTAAAAATAGATTAGCTAAACTAATTAGTATTTTATATATTTTCACATATTGGATGAAATTAATACTCCTTGGATTTAGAAACTTGTACAATTAATTTGATGATGAAAAAAATAGATTTTTAATTTACTATATTTGGGTTGGTTCAATTCATTACATGAATTAATTATTTTTTAGGTAGAACGATAAACTGAAGTTAAATGAGTTCGTACTTAAACCCTAACTAGTGATAACCTAATCTAACTTGGGTTGGATTAATCTTTTAAGGTGGTGCAGAGCTTCAATTCCCTGTTGAGCATTAATTAATGAAATGGATATCCTTCGAGGCATTAATGAAATGAAGTGAAGGGTATTTTTTGTTCAATACTTTATAATTATTTATTTTTTTCTTTTTGTTTAAGAAACTGGTATTTCATTAATTAATTTTTTGGTTTGGGACGGATTTGATTTTATCTGACAAGTAATGTGATACTTCTATTTATAATTGATGGTGCATGAGAAAAGGCTATGTTGGTCCTGTACATACCAAAAGTCCTATAACTGTCTTCCTTTACTTGGGTGCAAAATGGGACTGAAGCCAGTGCCTCTGGTTGTAATTCGCACTCGCTATGTCCGACTGTTGGGCACAAGTGAGATGTGACTTTCCTGGTCTTGCCTGTTGTTGCCATTAGTGGTACTGCCTTGAAAATATTGTTAAATTTGGTTCAAGTATTACTTTGTATCACATGGCCTTTTATATACTTTCAACTTGGTAGGTGGAAGAGATATGCATAAAATATC